AGAAAGAAAGAAAAAGAAAAAGAGCAGTACTTTAAATCATCTCTAGAGGACTTATAATACCAAATATAATGTAAATGCTATGAAAATAGGTGTGACACTGTATCATTAGAAAATAATGACAAGAAAAAAGTATATATCTGTTCAGTATAGATGCAAATTATTTTGATTCATGGTTGGTTGAATCTGTGGGTGCAGAACTTGGAGGACCAACTTTACCATCCTCCATTGGGTAGTCGGGACGTGGACAAAACTCTCCAAGCACACCACAGCCTCTGCCCCTGCTCTTTATTCTCAAACCAGCAGGTTCTGCTCTAGCAAGACTGAAATCAGGAGCCTAAGGGAGTGAGGGAGTGGTCTTTCTGAGGGAGTGGTCTTTATTTCACATTCTACACAACTATTGCCATTTGGGTTTAAGCTGGCTTTACACAGTCTTCAAATATCACAGACTATTTGTTACAAAGGGAGAAAATATCTTTACAGTGGGCAAATTTGGCAGACAGCATCTTTAAACAAATTGTGAAATTTAACATCACCTATAATGGAACAAATTGACATTTTGTGTCCCTTGATATGATATACCAAGAAAAGACACCACATTACCTATGTGATATACCAGCCAAAAAGGTTTGATTAGAATCTTATTACCAGAGGGCCAGGGATTTAGCTCAGTGGTTCTGCTGCCTCTGCCTTGCAAGCACAAGGACCTGAATTTGATCCCTGGTACCCCCCAAAAAAGAATCTTATTACCAGAAAACAGAAAAATTGAGGGGCAATTCTATCAGGCTGTCTTCTTTAAAAAATGTCAACGTCGCTGGTGGTCCATGCCTGTAATCCCAGCACTCAGGCTGAGGTAGGAGGATTGCCCCAAGTTCAAGGCCAACCTGAACTACATAGTGAGACCCTGTCTCAAATAAAAGAACAAACAAACAAACAAATGTACTTACATCAGGAAAAATAAGCCTAGAGAGCTCTTCTAGAGTAATAGAGTCTAAAGTGGCAACTAAAAGCAATTAATGATCCAGAATTGATTCTAGAGTGGAAAAACTATAAGGAACATTATTGGTATAATTAGAGAAATTTGAAAATGAACTATAAGCTGGGCATGGTGGTGCATATCTGTAATTCCAGCATTTGGGACACTGAGGCAGGAGGATTGTTGTGAGTTTGAGGCCACTCTGGGCTACATACTGAATTCAAGGGCAGCCTGAGCTGCATAAGCGAGACCCTGTCTCAAAAATAAAAAGAGGACTATACATTAGATGATTGTATTACAGGCGTTCTAGAGTGTGATACTTGTAGGTAGGAAGCGAATATTCATGCTGTTAGGCAATATGTGCTGGTAAGTGACCAAATGTCTTACCCTCTTACAATGCCTGTGAGTAAGAAACTATTGTTTTACTCTTAGACAGCTCAATGGTGAAATAAAGTGTGCACGTCTATGTGCGCAGACATGAAGGCTGGTTTCATTCTGGTACTATTAAGGTGGAACAATTCAGGGCTAAGCAAGCAAGGGGCTTGTGCCTCCTCTGTGGCCACCAGATTGTTCAAAACATCCAGGCACCAGGGACCTCAGGGAGACTGCATGCCTGTAAGATGAGTCTCTCCTTGTCCTTTCCTTGTGCAGCTCCTGCCAGGGTGGATCGCAAACAAATCCACAGCTACAAATCAGAGATTTGTCAAACAGCTTCTGCTTGGCAGGATGGCAGGGACAGGCAAGCTGTAGATCCCCAGTACCGGTAGAAGTAGCTCAAACAGTGGGGGTCAGCGCACAAGAAACAACACTGAAGATAAGGTTCACTCTGCCATCAAGGGCTGTGGCCATGCATCCGCCATGGTGTCCCCCAGGGGAAAGCTGCCTTCTTACCTGAGGCGCACAGAGTGACCACTGCCTGTTTGGGGTATTCAAAGAAAGAAATCTCACTGTCTTTAGGATGATTAGCACTCCCTTTCGAGCTAGATTAGACATAAGACTTGTGCCCCAATAACTAACCAAAGGATAGTTTCAAAATCATGTATTTCAAGAACATCCTGCCCTGGAGCATTGTTGTGTTTATTCAGCAAGCCAGTGCACCACAGTGTCTCAGAGCTGGGATTGCTGCATCAGAAACCCTGATCTCTAGTCCCAGCAAGGCAGTGTGGGACTTATCTCTTAGGGCTCCTGCTTTCTGAACTGCAAAATGAGCATAAAATTGTTGTGAGAAGTAGCTAAGATAATATGTATTCAAAACAAGATCAGAGCTGGGTGTGGTGGTGTATGCCTGTGATCCCAGGAGGCTAAGACAGGAAAATGTGGAGTTCCAGGATAGATTGGGCAATTTAGTGAGACCATGAAACAAACAAATAAACAAACAAACAAACTGATTGTGGTGGTACCTGACTGTACTCTCAGCACTCTGGAAGGCTGAGGCAGAAAGTTCAAGCCCAGCGTGGGCAATTTAGTGACTTGGAGAGAGACCCTGTTTCAAGATAAAAAAATAAAAAATGGCTGGGATATAGTTCAGTGGTACAGTGCTTGCTTGCGTAGTGTGTCCTAGGTCTTGGTTCAACCCCCAGCACCAACCCCTGCAACAAATAAAACAAGTAAACAAAAAACCCAAGAGCAGTGCTTGGCAGGGAGGGAGATCTTCATGCAGGCTGACGTGTGTCTTTCTGCTTCCAGGCCCACTGGTCACAGATCACTGCACATCTGTTACCTGGTCACTTTGCCTATGTCTTTTGGAAAGGAGGCTCAGTTTTCTGCAAACTGAGAGCTACCTTAATATGGTCCATTACTTCCAACCTAAGTTGCACATTAAAATATGCATGTAGATGAACCTATTGTATAATTTCAAATGACCATAGGATGCTTTGAAAAATCAGAGTGAAGCATTTTATCGATATTATGACTTTTAAGTAAATGAACATATATTCATAAAGAGATTAGAAAGGAAATTTCATTGCTTAAAAACAAGATTAACTATAAAGCTTGCAGCAATTTTTTAGTGAATCTGGTGCCATGTTAAATCTGCAACCAGAAAACATAATAGGAGGTGATTCTGTAAGTAATTTGCGAGCTAAATACCGAGTCAGTTGTGCTGAAGCACTGTGGTAAGGCAGCGGCCGCCTGAGCAAGAGGCGCCTCTCATAGCTGGGGTAACTTGACCTCCCTTCTGGCCTCCTGCTCCCCAGCTGAGAGGGCCGTTGTATGTCTGGCCCTCTTCCCTTCAGACAGATCCCTGTGGGATGCTGATGGGAGGCAGAAGCTACCTGGGGGTGAGGGAGTTTGTCTGCTCACATGCACCGGGAGATGCACACTGATTGCCCTCGGCCTTTTGGAGGATGTGTGCTTCAGGGGAGGACCCCATAAAGGCCTGGCCTCTTCTGCTTTTGGTTCTGTCTCAGGATGCAGAGCACCTAGGAGGCAAAGAGAAAGCAAATTAGAGTAGTGTCTCTCTTTTTGGATGGGGACTCATTCCTCCTTGCTCATGCTGTGTGTTCTGGGGGAGGCTGTGTCAGTCCCCTGTCTCCAGGGGAGGGAATATGCCTGAAGCCTAGATTTTGAAAGGTCCTTATTGCCTTAGCCACATAACTGCTTCCATAGCGGGCATGTGACTAAGTCTGGCCAATCAGAACATGCTTGGCACCTTGGCAGGAGCTTTCAAGAGGCAAATCCTTTCGGCTGAGCTGAGCAGGTAGTGAGTCAGCATGAAGCTGTAGAAAGGCATTTTTGTGGCACATGGTAAAAATCACGAGAGGGCCAGGGATGTAGCTCAGTGGTGCCTTGCCTGCCTGTAAAGTGCAAGGTCCTGAGTTCGATTGCCAGTACCAAAAAAAAAAAAAAAAAAA